TGCAATGTTTTTTTTTTTTCATTTTTCTTTTTGGTTTACAGCTCCATGGATCAACTCTGTTCGTCAATTAAATCAATCCTTGGTTTCATTAAATGTTGGAACTTCTTTTGGAAAACAATGCTTTGTAAAACCAATTTGTGCAGAACTAAGGAGTGACTTGGGGATCCTCTTGCAGCTGGTGTGGTTATATGGATATGAATCATGGTAACTGTCTGTGGAAATCTTGAAGCACCTTCTTGTCTACGCTTGAAAAAATTCTTTAGATAACATGAGATGCACATTTTGTGCTGCTGTAGCCATGTTTAGCATTTTTTCCTTGAAGCAGTTATGGCAGAGATTAGTTGGTTGATGCTGTTTCCTTAGTTCCAAATTAGTCGACAGTTTTTGAATATCTTACTATTTCTCTAAATGCTTTCTGTAAAGTTGATCACACATAACGGGACTTGAGAGAATTTTTTAATTAACATGTTATGTGTTTCAAGTGGTTTTTGAATGGTAATGGAGAACAACAAATTCATGGATCACACAAAGCAAAATTCCCCTGAAGAAATTCCATCACTCCTCCAGTTCTTATCATCAAATGAAGTTGAGGGCTTTGACATTGTTGGAGGAAAAAAAGGCTTAAATAATCAGAGTCAACCAAGTGAAATTAAACCTCTGAATTCATCAGCTATGGTAAGAATACATTCTATTTTGGTGCCTTCCAGAAAAGAGGAGAAACAGGGCACTACACAGTTACAGTTGTTAGATTAAGCATTTACTAGAGGTTTTGTTGTAATATACTGATGCTGTTGTGGTAGCTATTCAAGTTTTACTNGGTTCCTTAATAATCATAAAGGTTATTTTATTATTCCTTTTCATTCTACATTTTCTTGTTTTCTATTTCATTATTTGTTCGATTTTCATGTAGGCAAAAGAGGCATTTGAATTTATGGTACAAGCTATGTCAAATTCTCTGAATGAATAGAGCAGATTAAAGTTGATGAAAATAGCTGGTGTATTGGCATGCAAGTTTTTTATTATTCCATCAGCTGGTGTTGTTGATGCTCTCAAAACATGTACATCCTTATTGAGGGAGTGCAGGTACTCAATCATAAATGGCTAAAAAGCTTCATGTATTTAGTAATTGACACCAACTTCAAAAGAGAACTAAACAGAACTAAATCTTATTTCAACCAACTTCAGAACTAATCTTATTTAAACTTTGGAATCCTTATTCTATTTGCTTGTACATTTGCAGATTAAATGTGGAAACTTGTTTGAAAATAGAGTTGGAATGGTCTGCAAGCTGAAGTTGAGAGTTCTAAAATTTCAGAATTCTCATTAAGTCAGATATGTTTCGAAGTGCTGGTGCTCATACTAAATGTTGTGGTTTGGCTTACGAGAGGAATGGATGGTGGAATGGCAGCTTGATTGGCGTATTGTTTTCCGGCCTTCCATATGCATCCAGTCAGTTAGTCACGATATCCACTTGAATATGCTCACCACCTGCTCAACCATTTTCCAAAACCAAAACCAAGGAATAAGCAAGCAAGCACCTGTGCACACAAGCAGCTCCCAGCGCATATGCGTCTCCTCCTAGTCCCTCAAACCACCTTTCTTGGCCTTGCCCAACCCACATTTCACACACCTAACACCGCTAGCACCCCTACAACCACTTGCAGCCATTGTCCACCACACACTACCCCCTTTTTCTGTCCACTGCAGTCACTTCCTAGCCATCACCCACCACCACACACTGCCCCCCTTTACTGCAATCTCTTCCCAGCCATCACCAGCCACCACAGCTGCCCCCCACTGTACCCAAGCCACCCTGCCCTCCCCGCGCCCCAACCACCTTTCTTGGCCTTGCCCAAACTAGATTTCACCAACCTAACACCCCCAGCACCCCTGCAACCACCCGCAGCCATCAAGAAAATCACATAAATTGATTGTTCAGAATCAAGAAGTCAGCTCATTGGACTCAACTTGTTTAAAGAGAACCATATTTTTGCAACTCACTGATGTAATTTATTGCTTCTAATTTAGGTTTTCAAATGCTTCAAAGTTTAGATGTTCTGTCCTCAATGTTATGTTGTGGGGTCATGTTTTGTTTTGGTAAAAATATTGTACAAGAAATGGCTAATACNAGAAAACGTTGAAAACCAAATTGAAAAGAAATTTTTTGGCTGAAGGTGGATTTGGTTCTGTGCACTGGGGTGTAATTAATTTACTGTAAATTTCTTAAAAAGTTTGTAAATAATTTACTCAAATTGTTTTTCATGTAAACAATTTCTTTCTTAAGAAGAGTCTTGAATTGATTTTGAAATTTGGACTGTATTGTGTATGGTTATAGTGTGCCTTGAATATACTTTTTGTGGCCAAGCAAGTTAATAGCAGAATTGTATTGATTAATGCTTTTGACTGCAATAATTTCTAGAACCACGAGTTCATTTCAGAACTTGTGCATTGATTGTCTGCTCATGGATACTTGTAAAAGATTGACGCTTTTCAGTATTTTGTGTGATAGTGAATTGCATATATGCCACAATTTTGATTACTATTTATTCATGAATTTATATGGGTTCTAAAGTATATTCATTGATATATATAATTTGCAATATTGTTGAGTAATCTAGTATATCTTGGCTACAATGCTTTTTGGGTCACTTTTGTTGAGTTATAAGTTGGGTTCTAGTTGAAAGAAGTATTATATGTTATAATATGCTGAATTAGTCTTGGTTGATTAAGATATCTCAATGGCATTTAGGTTGCAATTAGAGCTCCCACCACATTATGGCATTTGCTACACATACCATCTGTTTTCCCTGTATCAGTGAACCATATAGCAGATATGGACTTATAATTAAAGAAAGGCTTTTAAAGAAGGGTTTGGTCTATTTTCGAGGCAAAGTTGTGGTGAAAATTAGGTCCAGTAGCAGAAAGTTGACACACTCCCAATTGATAAGGTCTTATACTTATGACCTAGGCTCAAGATGTTCATATCTGCTCTTAGGCAGAAGAGACAAAGTTTCTTCAATGTCAAGTGCTAATGCAAGAATACCTAAGGTGGCTCTTAAATATTGTCTACTTCTAATTTCTTCCTCCTTGGTGTTAGACTAATCGTCACAGTCTAAAAATTAAACCTAAATACCGTAGTAGCGGTAAGCAGGATCGAATCCACAGGGAGCAAGACTAACAACCTAATGTATTTTAAGTAGCGGAAATGAAATTGGCAATGGATTAATGAAACTAAATAGACTAAATGCAAATAATGAAATAGTGCAATTAAAACTAATAAAAACTTTATAATAAAAATGTTGCCGTTACGGTTTTGGTTCGACACGAGA